TTGATTCTTTTATTTGTTCAATACTTATAATAAACATCTGAAGAATTGGCTGCAAAAATGAAAGTATGGCATATATGACGTACAATTCCCAGATTGTGGAACTGTTTCATACAAAAAATTATTACAGTTTTATTAGATTTTTTACATCATTCGATGATAGGATATGAGAAAGTGAAGGAGCATCACCTATGATATGAAAGGCAGATTGGTAGCACCGAATGAAGAAAACAATGAATACCGGAATCGATTGAGTGTGAATGAATGGATTAGTATGGCACAGGTTTAATTGAATTGAGAAAATTTGCATAAATACAGTACAGAAACATTAATAAAATGACGGAATGACTTAGTTTCTTAGTAAAATGATGATTGCAATGGGTTACTTGGAGAAAGAGAGTTGAAATCGGAACATAAAGGTGAGAACTGACTATGGGAACTTGAAGGAGAGGGAGTTGCCGGCACAACTGACTCCTTGTAGGGAACGTAACCGGGTTGTTGATGTCTGGTATTCAAACGAATAGGACCTCCGGATAGTTCATGAACAGATTGTTGAAACTCTTTGCGTACAACAACGTTCTGAAGATGAAGTGTCAAAAAGATTACAAAGAAAATACACAAATTACCTTTTTCAAAGAAACTTTTGACTTCTTCTCCATTTCCATGACAAGTCTTTCCGCTCTTCTTGCTAACTCCGAAATAGTTGGATTCAAGTTGAAGAACTGAAAAACCAAAAAAGCTTTATTTCAGCTGAGCGGAATAGCTTACCTCATGAAGAATGCCAACGTCTTTGGTGTTGAATTTCTTCATTTTCTTGTTAGTTATGCCGAGTACTTGACCGATAGTAGGTGATTGAAACTTCGCTGAAATACGATTACTGTTTATAGAATCTCAAAGTAACTCATTACCTGCAGGCACTACAGGCTGGGCCTGAACAGCGACTGGCATCTTTGGAAATTGAACATAAGAAGATTTCGAATGTGCGGATTGACCCATAGGTTTGTTCATCATGGGCGAGAAGTTTTGTTTTCCATAATTTTGTGAATAAAACTGTTGTTGTTGCTGCGATTGTTGCTGTCTCTGAGGCAGGGCATGGCCAGACTGAGGTTGACGTAGTTGCTGTGGCGATAGCTGCTGGTTGGATAGTTGATTCAAGACAGGTGATCCAATCGGCACCATATTCTGCTTAGGAACGTTCATCGAGTTGTAGGCTGGGTTGAATCCAAATTGACGATCAGCATAGGATTGTTGCATTTGCACAGGTTGCATCTGACCCATGGCCATTTGCGGCGATTGTTGATAATTGTATTGGGGAGAAATGTGCTGCTGCTGCTGATAGTTAGATGAAGCAGGATAGAACATCTCAGAATTATTCATTTGTCGACCAGATAAGGGCATTGGCTTTTGATAAGGAGTGAAATGAACATTGTTGTGACGACCGACTTGGTTATCATACATAGAGTAAGTTCCGTAAGCCATGTTCTGAAGGAATATGTATTAGTGCAATTCAAACAGGTAATGCAAAAAGAATGAGAGAGAAGTAATCGAAGACATATTGAGAGTATAATGACTATGAATGACAAACTATATTAGGTTATGTGGAGGCGTGGTGAAAAGTGGGCGGGATAACGATTTAGCTTATAACTGAACATGAGATTTATGAGCTCATGAAACAAACATCCTATCACATATTATCTTAATCATGAACACTATCTCTTCTTAGACATGAACACCTTTTTGGAAACCAATATACGGTAAGAAGTATTCAACCACTTTTCAATTTTTCTTTTCGAATGCATTCGTTCACAGTTTACAAATCTCTACCGAACTATTACTACCATTAAGAACTCATTGAGATAAACTGTGATCCTCGTTAACTATTATGATGAAACGCCTACCGCAATCTATCAGCACAACCGATTTCACAATAAAAATCTTCTTGAATGATGCTCTATTTGA